TGATCCATGTACGGTTATGTTTTTCTATCGTAATAAACATATTATGATCGATCTTGGTACAGGCAATAATAATAAAATAAGTTGGGCTTTAGAAGATACACAAGAATTTATTGATATTGTTGAAACAGTTTATCGTGGAGCTCGTAAAGGTCGTGGTTTAGTTATTTCACCAAAAGATTATTCTACAAAATATCGTTATTAATTTCTATATATCTGTTTCTCATATCTCTCTCTTGTCTTGTTGTAATAAAATAAACTAGATTTTTCTTTGTAAAATATATTTTCAAGATTTGATTAAATAAACAACAGATTTATAAAAACAAAAAAACTCGAAAAAATGTTTGTAGATATGACAACTGATCAAATAAGAACACCTAATGCTTATCGATTGTTTATAAATCGATTATGTCAATCTTGTCCTTTAAAAAATCATTGTTCTTTACTAAACAAGTTTATCGAACAACAGGTAGATTTTTTTTTTTGTATTTCGTATAAAAAAATAAAGATTATATTCTTCAAATAATCTTTGATGTAAAAAAAGAAACAAAATTCTTATGTGATTGTTATATAGGAAAGAATATCACTTGAATCAACTTTACTTAATCATTCCGAAATACAAACAATAAATAATGTATCATCTCTTCAACATTGTTTTCTATGTCTTGATATTTTACATCGTTATATATCCGATGAATTTATTCAACAAGTAAGATTGAAATACATGTTTTGTTTTTTTTTTAATCACAATCTATATATTTTGTTTATTAAATTAAAGATTAAACAAGTTGCTCAATCGACAACAATTGATTTTCAAACATTTTGTTGTAATCTTACTTTACCAATGAATTTATTTATTCGACATGTAAATCAAAATAAATTGATTTTTGAAAAAAAAAAAAAAACAGAAATTTTCTCAACGTATTTCATATTGCAAATTGTTTCGGAATTATTTGCATGTTTTTCATTTGAACTTTTGAAACATCTAATTTATTCATTTCTAGGCATATTTACTAAAATTTTTAACAAAATTTATTGGTGAATGTAATGAAAAAGATTTGCCTATTATTAAAGATCAATGGCGAAATCTAATGATTGATCGATTAGAAGAAGAACTTAAACGACCATATCAAATTGATGTATTTAAACATAAATAAAATGCATTTGTTTGAAAAAAATTTTTTTTTTTAATCATTTTAGAGTCCTTTCGAAATTAATATAACATTTGAATTTAATAAAGAAAATGAAGAACTTAATTTTTTGTATGTATATACTATATTAAAAAAAATTTGAAAGAAAATTTGTTCTTTTTTTTTTTTAGACGAAAATTTCGTTATGCTAATAATCCTAAATTACAAGTAAGATGTTATTTAATTAAATTATATGACCATTGTTTATTTTTCTTATCAGTACCAATTAGAATACCATCACTTGTACAATAGAGATTTTTTTGATATTGAAGTTGATTTAATCGTGTTAAAATAGTCCATTGATTTGTATGAATATTGTATCTAAGTTTACAAATAAGATTTCTAATTTTAAGAACATAGTGTTTGAATAATTCTAGTACTTCAAAAGTCGAAGAGATTATTTCTTGCCTTTATACTTTTTATTCTACTGTCTGTTCAAAATTAAAATGGTTGCCTGCCATTTTTTGAATAATTTGAGAATAGAAGCAGCTAGTGGAATTTTCACAAAAAATTTACTTAAAAACTAAGAAAAAATTCATACCAGTTCAATAAGTAAATTGAGAATTTAATGTACTTTACCTTAGAATGTATGAAGATAATCATTCAAATTATATCTTAAACTATAGATCTGAAGTTTCTCTATCTAAATAACATATCAAAAGCCATTTTCATCTAATATTTTGCAGAAATAATTGATTTGAAAATGATGTCGTCTCATACAACATCAGAGAAAAAGACGTCCCAACATCGCCTCTTTCGACTGGTGAAAATTGCAGCTCGCTAACTGCTTTCATTCTCAATTTATTCAAAAAATGGCGGAGACCATTTTAATTTTAGATAGCCAGCTACATAGTATGTATCCGTCTGCTCTCAAAAATTAATATTTTACTAGCGAGAACCCGTGCATATTGCACGGCTGTTTTCTCCTTTAATGTATGACCTCAGACATTTAACTTTTCATCCGGTAAAATACATACAGACACTCGATATTATGTATATAGATAGGTTGCCCTACGACCTCATACTCTCATATCGCACATATTTTTATAGTCCATGCAGCCTTCGGCCTTCGGCCTTATAGCCTTATATTCCTTGTAGACTTATCTCCCTATTGCCTTACTCCCTTCAGGGCCTATGCGTATCACGATGTAATAGCCCTTGGGGACCTATGGGTACCCCCATAGGATAGCCGTTGAGGACCTATGGGTACCTCCATAGGATAGCCCTTGAGGATTTATGGGTGCCCCCATTGGATAGCCCTTGAGGACCTATGGGTACCCCCATAGGATAGCCCTTGAGAACCTATGGGTACCCCCACATAATAGCCCTTGGGGATCTATGGATACCCCCATCGGATAGCCCTTGAGGGCCTATGGGTACCCCCCCCCCTAGGATGGCCCTTGAGGACCGATGGGTACCCCCATAGGATAGCCCTTGAGGGCCTATGGGTACTCCCATAGGATAGCCCTTTGGGATCTATGGGTACCCCCATAGGATAGCCCTTTAGGACCTATAAGTATCCCATAAATAGTCCCTGGAGATCTTCCCTTATAGCCTTATGTGACCTTTAACCTTTGACCTTTGACCCTGCACAGACAGACAGACAGACACACACTGAGCATTATATATATAGATTTTCACGAAGTTTAATTGAAGAACTTTCCTTTGTTTACTCTTTAAATCATTATTTTACATACAAAATAGTTTCATATTCTAATAATACGATAACTTACTGTTCAATTGAAATAACATTAATATTAGTCATTATTTTATATTTATCATAAATATATTGTAATCCACCAACAGTATAAATCATATCTGAATAATAAGTAACAATTGGTTGTCCTCGTGCTTCATTACATGATGATATTGATAACCATTTTCGTTTATTTAAATTCAAACGAAAACATTTTCTCATAGCAATAGGTCCTTGACTAGTCATAATTAAACCTCCGACAATAATTATTGTACAATGATCAATAAAACAAACACCTGATAAAAATATACCTTGTTCATATCTTAATGGTAAATTAGGTAATGAATACCATTGTTCTTGTTTACAATTAAATAGAATACTTGATGAAATTGATTTTTGTTTATTAATTAATCCACCTATAAGTATAATATAATCAATAGTTGCTGCTAAACCAAATTGACTTCGACCAGGATACGGCCCATCAATATGTTGAATTATATGAGATATAATATTAAATTTAAACATTCTTGTTTTATATTCTCCTATTGCATAGAGAAATTTTCCAATATGTATAAAAGCATATTTTTGTTCTGATGAATCAAATTGTTTAAATAATTGTAATGCTTGATGAAAATCTTGATTAATTTCTTGACGAGTTCTTTTTAATGTACAACATATAGCTATGGTAGTTATTTTTTTATCATTAATATTCCATATATATTGAGAATTTATTGTTTCTTCTGATTCTGTTATCGATAATGTTTGTTCATTTGAAGATTTTATTTTAATTGATTTATATGGAATAAGACAATAAGATGAATTATTATTTTCATTTTGAATTATTGAATTATCTAAACGATTAAGTATAATTTTTTGATAATTTATAAGTTCATATAATTTTTTATTCATATTAATAAATTTATTTGTTATTAAACATGAATTATTTTTTGATAAATTTGAATAATTTATATATTTTAATATTAAATATTTCATTATTATTTTTCGTTGTGATTGATCTTTAAATGTTGACCAATTAAGAAGAGAATTATATAAAATTGTTGATGATATATTATTTGGAAATAATAATTCAAATAATTGAATAAGATTTTGAGATGTTAATAAAAGAAAATTTTTATTAGATATTATTTGAGAATAAAAATATTTTATTGCTTGAATAATTCGTTCATATAATATATAATTAATAGTTGGTATTAATAAACAACATTTAAAATATGACCATAGAAGTGATAACTACGATAAACTATTGAGAATTTTAGTCTATGATACAAAAAGAATTGAATAATTCTTTTTTTTTTTGACCTACATTTTCAGATTTATCGTACATTTTTTCTATAGATTCATTTATAATTTGAATACATCGTTGAATAATATGTTCAATATTTAATTCACTAGCTGCAAGAAATAAATCTGATATAGTATTAATATTTAAAATAAGTCTTGATGTATATAAATAAATAAGTAAAAGTTCTAAACCATGATATGATGTAATTTTTAATTGACAAGTATATTTTATTTTTGAAGAATTAATATTATTAATAAAATAATTTTTAAGTGAATGACAAACATTCAATAAAATAGAACTATGTGCATAATAACGTCGATTTGAAACAAGAAAAACAAGATCACAATCAATTGATGATGACCATAATTGTAGAATTGTTGAACTTAATGTATCTGCCATACGATAATCAAATTCAATATGATCATTGTCTAAATTATATCGAGAAAAATTCATTAATTGATTAAGAGATATTGATGAAGAATCTGAAGAAATTGTTTCTTCACTTGTTGAATTTGACATTTCTAATAAAGAATATTTGCGCTTTTTTTGTTTTTACAATTAAAATAAATATAATGGACAATCATGAAAACTTCTTTTAAGATTCACTATTCACTCTATTAATATAACTTAAAAACGATCAAACCCGAACGGTTTTGATTCGTTACCGGCTTATATTATATTAAAAATTATTATAATTTTAGAAATCAAATGCTAATGAAGCATTTACTCGACAATCGGTTACATCTATTCTTAATGATCTTACATTTGATGATTTTGAAAAGTAAATAAAACTATTTCATATAAGAGTTTTGAAATGAATTCTTCTATAAATATTAGATATTACAAACCAGCTATCGATGGACAAACATCATGTACAATATCTGCTCAACATGATTCAATTTATGTTGCTGGTTGTAAATATTTTCTTTATTATTTGATATTATAATTTTTTTTTTAGGACGTTACAATAAATATTCTCGTACATTATCTCAAACTCCATGGATTATTGATGGTGTTCGTAAAGCTGATGTATCTGTTGAAGAATTAATTGCTCTTCCCATAAGTAAACTTGTTACTTCTAAAAGTATATTATTTTAGTTTTAGTAATAAAAATAAATATTTTAAATATTGCTTTTTGTTTTCACTCAATAGATCATGTTTTTATTTCATCGGGTCGTGAAGATGTTGATGTACGAACATTAGGTCGTGGTTAGTATATTAATTGAGTTTGTTTTGTTATTTTAAGAATATTCTTTTTGTTTAATAGGTCGACCATTTGTGATTGAATTTCGACAACCATCAAGAATTTTATATCAACCTGAAGAATTTCTTACTGTTCAACAGGTTTATAATAGATTATTTAATTTTCTTAAAATATTTTTCATTTTTTTAGGAAATTAATATGTTAACAAAAGATATTCGTGTACGAGATTTACAACAAGTAACAAAGTATATAAAATTAAAATTTTCAAAAAAAAATATTTTCATATCTATTTTAATATAGAGAAGAAAGTAATCAAATAAAAGAAGGTGAAGAAGAAAAAACAAAATGTTATGAAGCATTATGTTATACTGATACACAAATTGATCAAATTGAACTTGATCAAAAATTTGCATCCATATCAAATTCATTAATTATTGAACAAAAAACTCCAATTAGAGTTTTACATCGGTAAATTAAAAAAAGAAAAAATATTCCTTGTGTGTTTTATATTTTGAAATTTCTTAGACGAACATTAATGACACGTCAACGATTAATATCTGCTCTTTCAGCAATTGTTATTGATCCATATCATTTTCGTTTACGTTTAACAACACAAGCTGGTGCTTATGTTAAAGAATTTGTTCATGGTGATTTTGGTCGAACAAAACCAAATTTAACAATAATACTTAATCGTTTTGTTGATATTCTTGAATTAGATGTTCTTGTATGTAATTTCATATATATTAAGAGAAATATTTATCGAAATATTTTATTTTATAGGCAGTTAATATTGATTTTCCACCAATGTTAAACAATGATAATAACGAAAATGAAAACGATAATTTTTGTGATACGAATGGAAAATAAAATATTTTGAAAAAATTAAAAGATCAATTTTTAATAGATCAATAAATATATTTTATTTTATTTTTGTATTATCGATGCATAAAATCATTACAAACAAACAATAGAGTAGTTTCAAAGTGGATGTAAAGGTATCCGTGTTGTTGTGGGATCGTTGAAACTAAGCATTGTATGCACACACACACCACCCTCTACAGCCATACACACATCACACATGTGATGCCCACCTATACCCTCGTTTCATGGTATGCTTTTGCTAGAACAGCTTTTATTGTAAATTCTAAAAAATGAAAATTTTCACATTCTATATGAATTTTCTTGTTTCGTCTATGCTAGTTGACAGTCGATGCAAGTAAAAAAAATCTTATCATGAAATTGAATTTCTTTTTTTTCGTTAGTAGAAATTTTCTTTGAAAAATTTCTGACCAATACCATGATTCAATGATTCATACCTTTTATAAAGATATATTACACCATCAGATTGAAACAAACTTGTTTTGATTTATTCTTTCTTTATAAATACGAAAGCATTTGTATTTCATTGTGTGAATCATTATATATTTGATATGTCTCAAATTTCGACATTTGATCATTTACCAAATGAATTAATTATATATATTTTTTCCTATTTAAAGTCGAATGAGAGTTTTTATGCATTTTTTTATTACAATGATCGTCTAAGAAAATTAGTGAAACGTCATGTTATCTACAGTCGTCGTGAACTTAAGAAAGATATTACAAGGTTTTCAACTTTACATAGTTGGTATAAACACTTAGACTATATGAATGATGGCACCAAATTTTATTTAATACCAATGAAAGGTGAACAAGCACGATACTCGTTTGATCCACGCATTTCTGATTACTCTGGTATCCATTGGCATTTTTGGACCGCCTCGGGTCTACTTAATGATCAAAGAATACAGGAAATTATTCGAAAATATCCGGTTCGACTTAATCTTTCCTTTTGTCCCTCAATGGATAAGTATAAGCTACCACGAATGGGATCTGGATTTCAAGATTTTGTTCGTCGACACTATCCATCTCAATGGAACGCCTTGGAAACAACATTTTTCAATGAATCAGACAAGAAAATTTATACAGATGCTGTTAAAATCCACTTACAATATATTCATGATAATGAACCAAAACGTCTTGAAAAAATCATCTTAGAAGCAGCTGACAATATCTGGAAAGAACTACAAGAGTTGGAAGATGTAAATATACTTGAGATTGAAGACAAAGAATAAACTGCGGCATAAGGACAGCTATCACTCATCAAACTAGCCTCTAAATCTAAATGATTTGATTGATATCAAACATTAAATTTTTATCTTTATTGTTCGATAAGAAACGTTGTCTTGTAAGACTATTTAAAATTCTGAATTTTCAAAAAAGTGTGGATTTGAGTTGCAGTTTAGGTATGTGTCTCGTCTCGAACTACATCGATTCTCTATGTGATTAACACGTTAGTTCAAAGGGTAAAGAGCAATTCTTCTTCACAATCTTCAATAGATGTGAGCATTAGTTTCGATTGATCTGAGACGCTGATTCACATTAGATGTTGATGCAAGTGTGAGTGTCGATGGAGATGTAGTCTTCGATAACGACACAATTGATAAATTACGAAAATTGCCTAAAATATTTTCGCTGAAAAAAAACTGTCGCCGTCATAATAGCTGAATTGGTTCACCGTTTATGTATTTGATAGAATTGAGTTATAGCTGATTCCAAGGTCTACCGAAATTACTATTTGGATATCCATTAAAGGCAATCTTTTATACAGAAAAATGAAATCTGCCTTCAACTTTTTATCCCACTTTATCTTAACTCTATTCAAGGACTAAAGTGATGAATTAACTTTTCAGTTATTTCCAAAAGCGTTTCTGAATTGTCGTTGAGATTGATAGAAGCAAGTCTAAGGTTTATAAGAAAATAACCAAAAATCGTTTCTTAGATATACCCAAGCATACCACAAGTTTATACTTGATGCTATTGTAAGGATTCAAAATTTTGAGAGATCAAATCGAAAAAATCTTTGAAAATTTTACGTACGATTATTACTCTAATGTTAGACTAAAGTCGACTATATTCCAATTGAGTTGAAATAAGTGTGATCTTCGTATTGAAAGGCAGCTTTTCAAGCATGAAAACATTTTTCTATGGAGACTTTTTTGAGATATGCAATAGAAAAAAAATAAGTTTGACTCGTAAGTCAATCAATATACATCTAGTATTAATAGTTAATCATTTTAAAAAGTTTTATTGAAGTCAATTTTACTCGATTAAAATGAATTAAACATTAAATAATTTGATGAAAATAGAATTAACTAACGTACCAAATTAATCGAATTTCAATCAGAAAAATTCGAATAAAATCAATTTTTTTTTTCATAGACATAGGACTAATATTTTTGTTCAGTTCTGTGACAACCTCTAGTATAAACATTTAGCAAATGAGAATTTTCCATGCAGCAATGCTTTGATTTTATTTGAACAAAAGGTGGTATGCTCTTGTACTTCAATTCATGTTGAACTCTTTGTTTAGCAC